TTGGCTGTCCCCTTTTTGGGACCCTCCACCGTAAAAAAATGGTGGCCTTTTTCACACCTGCTGAAGAGGGAGGCCAAAAAATAAACTTAACTAAAATACAAAAACAACCTCGGTGCTGGTCTCTGCCTTTCTGCGCCAACGTCCATCCTCAGACACTGTGGGCCCTGTGCGCTCGCGTTCCGCTGCCATGGCAGCAGGGGAGGGGTGGGGTGGTAGGAGCAGTGGCAGCTCCACCAGCAGCAGCTGCCTCAGTCTGCAGTCGATGATGAGTAGCTTTCTTCACCAGCGCAGTGAGGAAACTACTAACCAGCCGCAGCAGCAGCAGCATCAGGTGGACCTGGAGCAGGACCTCAAACAACAGGCTTAGGACTACTTGGACAGCACCCTGCCAACCGAGGTAGACAATCCCCTTGACTACTGGGCAACGAAACTTGACCTTTGGCCCCAACTAGCTGAATTTGCCCTTGAAAGGCTGTCATGCCCGGCCAGTAGCGTGGCATCGGAGCGCGTGTTTTAGTGCGGCAGGAGGTATTGTAACTCCGCGGAGGACACGACTGTCCACCCAAAGTGTGGAGAGACTCACGTTTGTGAAAATGAATCCAGGCGTGGATTAGTCTGGATTTCAAACCACCAGTTCCTGACACAACTGACTAAATCCGCCATGAATCATGCCCCAAACATGTGCCACTTTCAGGTCTCCTCACACTGCTGGTGTGTTCCATTTTTTGTCATAGGGTGCTGGCAGATTACGGGCCTCCCATTGCTGCTGCCAGGCCCGTAATCTGCCATGGGCCCCTGTACCGCCTCCTCATGCTGCTGCCAGGTCCAGAGTGTGTCATGGGTCCCTGTACGGCCTCCCATTGCTGCTGTCTCCATCGCCACACTCTGCCATGTGCCACTTTCAGGTCTCCTCACACACTGCTGGTGTGTTCCATTTTTTGTCATAGGGTGCTGGCAGATTACGGGCCTCCCATAGCTGCTGCCAGGCCCCTAATCTGCCATGGGCCCCTGTTTAGCCTCCTCATGCTGCTGCCAGGTCCACAGTGTCTCATGCCATGTGCCACTTTCAGGTCTCCTCACACTGCTGTTGTGTTCCATTTTTTGTCATAGGGTGCTGGCAGATTACGGGCCTCCCATTGCTGCTGCCAGGCCCGTAATCTGCCATGGGCCCCTGTACCGCCTCCTCATGCTGCTGCCAGGTCCAGAGTCTCTCATGGGTCCCCTGTACGGCCTCCCATTGCTGCTGTCTCCATCGCCACACTCTGCCATGTGCCACTTTCAGGTCTCCTCACACACTGCTGGTGTGTTCCATTTTTTGTCATAGGGTGCTGGCAGATTACGGGCCTCCCATAGCTGCTGCCAGGCCCGTAATCTGCCATGGGCCCCCCGTACCGACTCCTCATGCTGCTGCCAGGCCCGTAATCTGTCATGGGCCCCTGTTGTCGCTTGTTGGCATATTCCGCTCGTTCAGATGCTCCTTCTCCTGCTACTCCTCTTCACGGATTCCGTCAGCAGTCTTTCTTGGAATCCGTTTCCAAGAGACAACAGTTTGCGAGCACGCACCCGACGGTGCAGAAGCTGAACGTCCTCCTGTCCAAGTTGCTGCTGCCAGGCTCGTAATCTGTCATGCGCCCCTGTACCGCCTCCTCATGCTGCTGCCAGGTCCAGAGTGTGCCATGGGCCCCCGTACCGACTCCTCATGCTGCTGCCAGGCCCGTAATCTGTCATGGGCCCCTGTACCGCCTCCTCATGCTGCTGCCAGGTCCAGAGTGTGTCATGGGTCCCTGTACGGCCTCCCATTGCTGCTGCCAGGCCCGTAATCTGCCATGGGCCCCCGTACCAACTCCTCATGCTGCTGCCAGGCCCGTAATCTGTCATGGGCCCCTGTACCGCCTCCTCATGCTGCTGCCAGGTCCAGAGTGTGTCATGGGTCCCTGTACGGCCTCCCATTGCTGCTGTCTCCATCGCCACACTCTGCCATGTGCCACTTTCAGGTCTCCTCACACTGCTGGTGGTTTCCATTTTTGTCATAGGGTGCTGTATGGCCTCCCATTGCTGCTGCCTCCACCGCCACACTCTGGTTTTGGCCCCGTGACTGCCCAAATGAGTGAAGTGTGCGGTGAGTCTAAGATCGACGGCACTCATCTGCATGTCATACTGACTGTCAGTATTATTTCTCTTCCCCAGCAGACTCCAAGGGCATTTAAATTAAAGGTACAGTGTTCTGCACTAATATAAAGGCTCTCTGAAGCCTAGAAACACCCTTTTATAAGTTAAATTCGCAGCGAATATATTCGACTCGAATCGAAATTTTTTCACGAATTCGCCGAATCAGTCGAATCGAATTTTTGAATAATTCGCTCATCTCTAGTGGCTACAATGAAAGAATCTGCTCAATTGCCACTCGATTACCCTCATCTCCTGGGTTACAAACACAACGGATGCCAGAAACTCTGGATGGGGCGCTCTCTTTCGGTCAGAGATAGCTCAGGGTAGATGGAGTTTTTCTTTCCCACAGGTTGGGGTTGAATGTCCTGGAATTGCAAGCAGCTTTCTGTGCTCTGCGGGCCTTCCAGCACCTAACGCAGAGGTCCCACAATATGACGGCGGTGTCCTACATAAGCAGACAGGGCGGGGCCCACAGTCTCCTACTTGCAGGAGGTAGAGCCAATCATGTCCTAGGCTCACAGAAACCTGTCCAATATATTGACAGTATACGTTCCCGGAGTCCAGAACTTACAAGCAGACTACCTATCCAGGGTTCAAATAGACAACAATGAGTGGTCTCTCAACACGGAAGTCTTCAAGTGGGTACTGACCCTCAGGATCAGTCCAGAAGTCAACCTGTTTGCCTTCCCCTGCAACAGTAAACTGGAGATCTTTTAATTGCCACAAGCGCCCAAAGACAATATTGTGAAGTCCAAACACCCTCCCTGCGCATAACTGTTAGAAACCGCCTGGCGGTACCTCTAGCAGCCCACAGGACAGGATTCCCCAGAGCGCGGAGTCTAAGCCCCAGCCTGCTTGTTCACCAGGGCCCCTGATGGTGGGGATGGACTTGGAGCAGACTGGAACCAGGTCGCGGCCCCTGAGTACACCCGTCTGTGGTAGAGGACTCCGCCGGGGGTCTGTGCAGGTGGAGAGTCTGACGTGAAGAAGCAGAAGGCGGAAGCAGGGATGGCTGGATCCGTGCCGGATGGATGGACGGATGAGCGTGGTCAGACGGGCAAGGTCAGCGTAGTGCAAGGCAGCAGGCAGAAGAATAGTCAGGTCACTCGCCGGGGTCAATACCAGTAGTTCAGATCAGGTAGGGATATCCAAAAACAGGTCAAACTTAGCCAGGGGTCAGAGCAGGAGAAGTCAGCAGAGGTCAGGTCCAAGCAGGTCAGCAACAGAATACAGGAACACAGGAATAAGATCAGACCATACGGCAACTTGTGTCTGTGCAGGGCTGGTTTAAGTACCCCCGCCCTGCACCTGACAGGCGCAGCCTAGGTCCTAGTGCCTGCCCAGCACCGTCATAGGCGACGGGTGCGCCTGGGTCCTAGTGCCCTGCTGCCTGCATGTCTTGACAGACACCTACGCATGTGCAGACCCATGTCGCGTCGCGATGGTCCCTGACAATAACAGTCTTATATACACAAAACAGTGCACGACTATCCTTCGCAGATTTTCATATACAGTATTCTCACCAGATTCTTCACTATAAGCATGCGTTGTATATCATCTCTGTCTTTTCCTTTTAATCATCTACTCCACTGATTCCAATCTTCAAAACAAAAAAGCTAACATAATGTAGTAATTTCGTGCACCAATTATACACAACAAAAACCGTGTAAATTCAAAACACTTCGTGAATAGTATCCACCGCTATCCACACTAATTACTCTTACCCTCACAGGGGTATGTGCATATGACTCCCAACCGTGCACCATTAGGCATGTACCTTACCCTGCATACATCGATATGTGCTTTCAATACTCAGTGCAATCTTCACTCTGCTCCTCTTCTCAATGATTCTTCATATGCTCTCGATCACCATATAAAGTCAAACATACAAGCCCATAGTACAGCAGTAGTATAAAATTACCTATTTATTGTTAAATTGTGCTTACATGAAAGATGAATGCAAACAACCTGTACCAAAATGGCTGCCGCTGCACTTCTGGTTACGTCTGATGTCACTTTCCACGGACGCGTTTCATCATCAAATTGACTTCCTCATAGGCAGTAGACAGTAGGCCTGGATCTGTCCCTGTCAGTCAGCACCCTCAGAGTTCAAGTGTCAGCCATCTTGGCCTTCACTGGAGTATCATGGGCTGACCACTCTTTTGTCTGGCAATTCTTAAAGGAGGCGGTAAGGTTGAGGCCCCAGAGAAAACTGAGGTTCCCTAAATGGCTAAATGGGACCTTCCGCTTGTCCTTGACTTCTTCTCTGGAATCATCCTGAAGTCGGCTGGTTCACCCATAGTCAGGGAGCTCTCCATTAAGGCAGCTTTTCTGGTGGTGGCAAAAAGAGTCTCTGAAATCGGAAACCTTGGCTGCAAAGAACCATTTTTGACATTCTTCCCAAATCGAGTGGGGCTCATCCCTATGCTAGGTTCAAATCCTAACGTGACCTCGGTCTCCCACGAAAACCAGGAGAAAACCTCTGGAGACAATGACGTTCACCCCCTGGATGGAGGTGAAACCTTAAAGCTGTACATGCAAGTCACAGCACCCTTTTGTAGGTAAGACCTCTGTTCATCCTTTTCCATGGGAAGAGTAAAGGAGACCGGGTTTCTACCAGTCAATTGCAGCCAGGATTGTCCAGGCCATCCAAATGGCCTACAGATCTAAGGGCTTTGCACCTCTGGAGGCGGTGACTGCACACTGAACCAGAAGTGTGTCTATGTCCTGGGTGGCTTTCCAGCATGACGCTCCTGAGATGATCTGCAGAACGGCTTCATGGTCCTCAATCGACACTTTTATGGCTCGTTACTGTGTACAGCCTGCTTCCTTATCCTCTGTTAATTTTGGTTTGAAAGTCCTGTCGGTTGATGCAGCAAATTAAAGTCTTTGAGTAACTGCCCACCCGTGTGTGTATGATTAGCTATTTAGCAAACCAAAATAAAATAAGTGGCTATGGACTCAACCAGGACTCAAAGGTTTTTGATTAATGTATTAATCTAAATATAAACCAAATGTGCCTCAGCATATGCCAACATTTACCTGGGGGATTGGGAATCTTGGTTGTTTGGTGGTGGAGGGGGAGCATTAGCCTGGTACAGATACATCGATGACGTCCTCATCCTTTGGACTGGAACCATAGAACAAGCTCAGAACTTTGTAAATGGACTAGTTCCTAATCCCTAATTTGAAATTTACTAGTGAATATAATACTCAGAGAGTGACCCTTTTGGATTTAAAAGTAGAATTGGATGAGAAGGGTAGAGTAAAAACTAAGCTGTTTAGAAAACCGAGGGCTACGAACAATATATTGGATGCAAGGAGTTTTCATCCTCGCTCCTTAATTTAGGGTATCCTAACTGGTCAATAACTTAGGACGCAAAGGAATTGCTCTAATCCTCTAGATTTTGAAAAGGAGGCATTGAATCTACGTGAGAGGTTCATCAAACGTGGATATAAGAACAAGTGGCTGTCAAACAGCGAGGGACTCTGATTGTGGGGATTTAATATTTGGCAATATGAAAAAGAGAAATACATCTTCCAATGATCAGGAAACCACTAGGCTGAATATACAATATACTGAATTATCAGAAAGCATAAAGGGTATTTGTGCCAAACATTGACACATTTTGAAAGAGGACTCCTCGGTTGAAAAATATGTGAACGATCGTTCAGATTTGGTCTATAGGAAGGCTCAATCTTTAGCGGATTTACTGGTCCATAGTTAACCCCTTCACGCCGGCACCACCCAGCCCTTTAAGGGTTCCAGAAGCCGGGAGGCGGGGTGGGGTTTAGAGTCATGTGACCACCGTGATGCGCCGTCACAGTGGTCACATGATCGGGAAAGGTCCTGATTGAAAGAGGAGATCGGGACCTTTCCGTGAGTACCGGACATGTGTGCTAGGAGCGCTCAGGGCGTGCGCTCTTGGCACATATGTCCTTTTTTAATATACCCAGACGCCGGGAGGCTGCACATTTGTGTGCGACCGGTGTGAAGAGGTTAAAGCAATAATCCCCCTGTGCTTAATATGGACCTATAAACTTTAAGAAGCTGCTAACACCCAATCCTATACCTATAGGTGCATAAACACAAAATACTTAAATATAATGGTGTAGCGCTAAAATAAGCAACATTAACATATGAACAAA